GCTGTTGTTTTGTACAGCAGAATTGGAGCTGACAAGTAGTTGAACCTCTGAGTTTTCAGAGGCAGTTAATTGCGGGGGAGGAGATTACCCATCCTTCTCCTGCAGATCTGCTGGTGGCCTCAAACCTTGTATCTTTGGGATTGCAGTGCAGGTTCTTGCTACTAGACCACCAGAGCCCATAACATCTTTCAATATTGGGGCTTAAGACTTAAATTTGTTTTTCTGTTCTCTCAGCTTTAGAAATGCAGAACAAGTTCTTCCCTTTTAATTCTCCAATTACATCTCTCTACACATTTCATTATAATACTTTGTCTTTTCAGGCTGCCCTTTAGGGCATCAATTAAGACCTGATGAGCAGGCCTTTGTGATTAAAAGTTGTTTGGGCCTGAAGGCCTGCTGCCCTTAGTTTCTGGGGTTAAGACTGATTTGCTATTAGAGAAATTATCAGTTTGCTGTGTTCGGGAGAACATTGTTGATTGGTACAGCACTGGTCTGTCAGTTTGCTGTACTGAGATAACTTGTGGGTTGTTGTGAAAGCTATGCCACTGGCATGTCAGATGCCACAAAGGTTACCCATGGTGGACAGGTTTTAAAGTAGAGTTCAGTTAAGAAAGACTAGGAAGCAGGATTGGCAATCCACTTCTTAAATAGCAGCCTTCAGAAAACCTTTTGAACAGTAGAGGAACGTTGATAGTTGTAGTAGTGGTAGAGCTCAGATTGGAAGACAGTCAAAATGAAGAAGAATAATGGCAGACATCCTCTAATAAGAAGAACATGGAATATACATAGCTTGAATATTGGAAAACTAGAAATGGTAAAATTAAATGGAGTATGACACCCATGTTTTTCATGGCTTTGTTCATAATAGCAAGGAGTTGGAAACAACCTAAGTGCCCATCAACAAACGAATGGATAGAGAAGCTCTGGTATATTCACACAATAGAATACTATGCTGCATTGAAAAACAAGGAACTCATGAAATCTTATTCAAAATGGGTGACACTGGAGGACATTATGCTGAGTGAAATATCTCTGTCAAACAGGGACAAATACTGCATAGTGCCACTGTTGTAAAATGGGATTGACATCAGGGTTGGGAAGAGACTGAGAAAGATGGGACAAATAATATATACTGCATTGAAACAGATGAGGGAGAAAACTGTTTAAAAGGGATATGTGATTAGGTATTTTTGTCATGACAGGAGTCCAGAGCGAAGCTGCATAGTGGTGTGGATTGGGGGGGGGAGGGATTTTAAAACAATGAAAGAGTTTTTCTTTTACTTTTCAAAGAGAAAAGTATACTAGGGGGAGGGGTGGGCAGGGAGAAAAGTGCAACAATGAATAAAAGGAAATCCTCTGTCTCTGTAAACTTTCATTAAAATTAATAATAAAAAATTTTTTTACAAATATTAAAAAAATTAGATGGCACACATGAACATCGACATTCTAGGCATTAGAGAAATGAGATGGACTAGCTTTGTCCACTTTGAATCAGACTTTGAATCAGTATGGTTTACTATGCTGGGAATGAAAAACAGAAGAATAGTGTTGCATTCAGAGTCAAAAAGTCAATTTCAAGTTCTATCCTTTAATACAATATTGTGAATAATAGGATATTATCCATATGCATATGAGGAAGGCCAATATTCATTCCTACATTTGAAGCCAGAGAGGAAGAAGTTGAAAATTTTTACCAAATCTTACTGTCTAAAGTTGACCAAATATGCAACCAAGATGGGTTAATGATAATTGGTGACTGGAATGCAAACATGGGAAACAGTGAAGAAGGAACAGTAGTCGGAAAATATGGGCCTGGTGATAGAGATGAGGCTGGAAATAGAATGATCAAATTTTGTATTTTCAATGATTTATTCATTGCAACACCTTTTGCAAAAGACAAGCAATGACTTTTCACATGGACTTCACCTGATGGGCTACATAGGAATCCCATTGACTACATCTGTGGGAAGCTCTATATCGGCAGTCAAAAGTAGTCCAGGGGTAGACTGTGTGTCTGATCATCAATTACTCATATGGAAGTTCAAATTGAGGCTGCAGAAAATGAAAAATAAGTCCACGAGAACCAAGATAAGATCTTGAATCTATTCCATTTGAATTTCAAGATCATCTCAAGAATAGATTTGAAGCACTGAGCACCAATGATCGAAGACCAGGTAAGCTTTGGGATGATATCAAGGATGTCATTCATGAAGAAAGAAAAAGGTCATTATAAAGACAGAAGAGAAAGAAAAAAAACCGAAGATTGAGATCATTCGTATCATTTGGCCTTGCCAGTTGAATGTCAGGAGAAACTTGAGTGTCTGCTTCAGTGTTTCATTCTTGCCAGTTTGACTGCCCTAATGCCAAGGTACCAAACCCATTGCCCTTGAGTCAGCTCAGACTCCTGGGCACCCCAAGTGTTGCCACATAAAACTTAACAGGCCCCTGAACTTGTATTTTTTTTAAAGTAGAATTCCAGGCTGTTCTTCTGTAATATTATGTGTGGGTTTGAACCTCCATCTGAAACTGTCAAATAGGTGCAAATGGCTTGTGCCACCCACCACATAAAGTGCAGGGAAGGAGGGATTCCAAGAAACTGAAATTTAGTGTTCTTTTTATGATGATCTAATTTCTCCCATCTACTCATTGGAGTTTTCCTTTTTCTTAAATGCATATTAGAAATCTCATACAAGACCGAATTTATTAGAGAATTTGCATGACCCGCATGGAAACTTGAAGCTATCTGGCCAGAGTTAAGAGCTTGTATGGTCCTGACGCAGAGCTAAGTCAAATTAAGCACTTGGGAAATGAACCCTTTCCCACGCATGATTTAATGTGGGTAGACTTGACCCTACAGGGTATCTGTAATTGAAGCTTCCAAGTTCAATGTCTGGAGACATTTACCTGTGTTTTCCCCCAAAAAACTAAAGGCTAAAGACAGCAGGACGACATCGCCTTCCATTAAAGAGGAGAAAAGAAATGTTATTTCTAAGCCATCTTAATAATGTAGACTAGAGAAAGCTATGCAATATATCTGCTTTCCCATGGATAGAGTTCTGTCACTCTTATTAAATTCCCACTTGGTGTAAATAAGTCCCAGATGCTACCATACCTTGAGGTTATCTTTGGAAAGGGCCCCAGAGCCTTATCTGTTACCTGAAGTAATTGAATTAGGCATTTTTCTGATAAACAGTCTTTGATTACTCGTCTTACTCATGTCTTTATTTTTTTCCTTAGCAAATGCAGATGTTTTAAAGGCAATGGTAGCAGATAACAGCATAGCTGATCCTGAAAGGTGAGTGTTCCTCCCTGCTTATCCTCTCGTTTAAAACAGAACCTCTTTTTCAACTATTTGCTCAAATATAGTGCATGAACTAGTGCTGTCCTGCCCAAGTGAGATTTCTGTTTCTGCCCTGTTGGCATCTTGGGCTCAAAAGTTCTTTGACATAAAATAGGGCAAGGTTTCGATCTGTGGTTCAAAGGGTTGCTATGAGTTGTATTTGACTTAAAGGTACCTAACTACAAAAGACACTTGGTCTTAGCAAGTGACCAAGACACTTGGTCAAAGGTTGTTATGCAGACGATACAACCTTGTTTTCTGAAAGTGAGGAGCATTTTAAGCACTTGCTGCAGAAGATCAAAGACTGCAGCATTTATAGATTGCATTTCAACATCAAGAAAACAAAAATTCTTGCCATTGGACCGATAGGCAATATCATGATAGAGAGAGAAAGGATTGAGACTGTCAGTGACTTCATCTTACTTGAATTCACAGTCACTATACTTGGTACTAGCAGTCAGGAGATCATGAGATGTTTTGGGAAAATCTGTAGTCAGGAACCTCTCCAAATTATTGACAGTCAATGATATCAGTTGGAGGACTAAGCTATTTAGACCATGGTTTTTACAGTCACTTGTTATGCATTTGAGAGCTGGACAATACATAAGGATAATAGAATTGAAGTCTTTGAACTGTCGTGTTGGAGGAGAGTGCTGAAGATCCTTTGGACTGCAAGAAGAACAGACAGATATGTCTTCGAGAAGGTACAGCCTGAGTGCTCCTTGGAGGCAAAGATGATGAAGCTACACATAACATACTTTGGGCATTTTGCTAGGAGAGATTATTGCTTGGAGAGGGACATCATGCTTGGAAAGGTGGAGATTCAGCAAAAGAGAGAAAGACCCTTAACAAAGTGAGTTGACATGGTGACTGTAGCAATAGGCTTAAATGTGCCAGAGCCTGTGAGAATGGCATGGGATAGGACATTGTTCACATCTATTGTTCATAGGGTCGCTATGAGTCATACTCAACTTGACAGCACGTACAACAGCAACCACAACATATAGTTCTACTTCTTGTAGGACATTTAGCAGCAGTCCTGAGCCTACTCACCAGATGTGGTAGCCGTCCCTCTAGTTGTGACAGCCTGAAAGGTCTCCATTCATTGTGAATGTTCCTGGGGTGCGGATCCAGGCCAGTCATTCCTGGTTGAGAACCACTGTTAACGAATTGAGATGGGAGAAGTTAGCTGGAGAGGTTAGGATAACAGTGTTCAGATTTGGAGAATTTGGTTGAACCTTAAATAAGCCCCTGTAAACTGCTTGTTCTCATGCTGGTTAACTGACCACTCTGAACTCAAGTTCCATCATCTGAAAAATGGAGAGATCCGTATACCAACTTACTACGAAATTAAATTGGCCATTGAAGAACTTCCTGAACAATAGTGATTATATGAATATCAGGATACCAACCAAGTTCTCTTTGTGTATTACCAGTTTTAGATTGTAGTCTTTCAATGTTATATTAAACAAAAATTATTACAGACACGTGTTAAGTGCCATTGAGTTGCAGGCGACTCACAGCGACCCTATGAAGGAGAGTCCTCAACACTTGTGTGTCTCCCATCCTCTCTCCAGGTTCGTAAGGTTTCCGGAAGCAAGTTATTACAGAAGTGGATGCCACTCCTGCTTCCAAGACATTTAGATTTCTATAATTATTTTTCATTATTTTTTTTTCCAATAAGGAACTTTTATCCGATGCCAGCTATGTTGAGTATTTTGCCAGAATTGGACACACTGACATTGTTGCTGTTGAGGAACTCAGTCTAGTGGGAAATGAAGCCCGGCGGATGAGGCCTCATGGAGAATGCTCAGGTCCTGTGGAGCAGTCAGGTAGACCAGATGGTCCACCAGCTCCATAGGGCTGTACTGTCACCAGTAACAAGATGAAGCCAGAATGCTATTTGAGCTTGAGTGGCAGCTAAGGTATTTGAAACTTCTGTGGGGAGTGCACCTAGCAAGTCTGAGAAATAGTACATGTTCCTCAGAGTGACCTTGTCAGATGGCATGTTAGACCGGTAAACCCTGAGGGTGGTGGATTCCAAGCCAAACCCGCTGCCTGATTAGCTCACAGTGACCTTGTGAGGCAGAGTGGAAATGCTTCACAGGGCTTCCAGAGCTGCAGTTCTTTACAAAAGCAGGCTGCCTCATCTTCCTCCCGTGAAGCAGGTGGTGGATTCAAGCTAGTGATCTTTTGGTTAGCAGCTGCCTGCCTTACCCACAGTGCCACCATGCTTGCTATTGTTGTTAGGTGCCATTGAGAAGAGTATGACTCATAGTGACCCTAGGAACAGAAGATCCAAAAGAAACCCTGTCCTATCCTGCGCCATCCTCATACTTCCTGACACACAAGAGCCCATTATAGCAGTCACTGTATCAATGCACCTGGGGGAGGGTCTTCCTCTCCTTCGCCAACACTCCACTCCTCCCAGCATCATGGCCTTCTCCAAGGAAAAGCTTCCTCCTCGCAACATACCCAAAGTATGTGAGGCGAAACCTCATCATTCTTGCCTCCCAGGAACACTCCGGCTGCCCCCTCTCGAAGACATATTTATTCTCCTGGCTTGCTGTAGGATGTTCAGTGCTCTTCTCTAATGCCACAGCTCGGAGGTGTCAATTCTTCTTCTGTCATTCTTATTCATTTTTCAGCTCTCAGATGTATAACAAGTGATCAGAAAGACCATGGCATGAATTAGGCGCACCTTAGTCCTCAAACTGATATCAGTACTCCTCAATAATTTGGAGAGGTTCCTAACTTCAGACTTTCCCAGTGCAGTGTGTCTCCTTTTTTCCTGAGTGCTGGTACCAAGCGTGTTAATTGTGGATCCAAGCCAAATGCCATCATGCTTAGAGGAGAGAATACAAAAGGAAGATTTATTTTGGAAGCTCAGACACGCAGACATACCATCTGTAATTTGCCCTGTGGTCTACGACCAATATTTGCTGTTGTTACTATGTACCATCACATTGGAACCGACCCAGAGCTGACTCTCCAGAGTAAATTGCATGGGAGACATTTACCCATTTTTCTCCTTGGAGCAGCTAGTAGATTCAACCCTCATGCCTTTGGGTTGGCAGTGCAACTCCCTACCACTAAGTCACCAGGGCTGTTGTCAGAGCTATTAGGGACATATTAATCCAAACAATTGCCATTGAGTCATTTTCAACTAAAGCAACCCTCCATTGGATTTCTGAGGCTGTAAATATTAACAGGAGGAGACTGCCTATCTTCCTTTTGGTGGGTTTGAACCTCTAGAGATGTGCAGCCTTTTGGGTAGGAGTCCACCACTCTATTGACTACACCACAGAGCTCCTTAGGACCTATTAGCCTGTGATATCATTGTCTCAGTAGTCTTGGGATATGTTATGATCAGAGTGCCTTCTATTGGATATTGTGCAGAGGTGTTAATATATGTTTGATGAAGGAAAGTTGTTATGTTTGTCTGGTTTTTGAAAGTTGTTAAGCTTTGGAGGTCATGATTCTACTACCTAGTGGTGTTAGGGGTCTCAGGTAGGGTAGTTGGCAAGGGGTTGCACTGTTAACCTAAAGGCTGCATGTCTCTGGCCATTCAGGTCCACTATGGGAAAAGATTGGCAATCTCCTCCTGTGCAATTTATGGCCTCAGAAACCTGCTGGAGGGTCTGCTATGAGTCAGTTCAACTCAAGGGCAATGCATGTGTGTGAGAGGGAGAAACAGAGAGAGACAGAAACAAGGTGGTGTTACTATGTTCTAACATCATTTCACCTCAGGACACAGCTGTTGTTGCTGCTGTGTTTCTCTTTTAACAATTTAAAGAGCACCAGCAGAGTTTGGGCTGGCTATGATGTTGGAGATTACCTTCTTGTCTGTGGGCTCCACTTCTTAAGTGTTCTGGTGAGCAGCTCTTAGCAGCATGGAAGCAGGATGCTGCCATCATGCCTTTGGGTTCTTTGCAGTAGGCTCTGATGTCTGGCTTTGTCGGGAACTACCACCCCACCTACACCAACCAGCATCATCAGATTCATTTCTGGTGACACTGTGCTGGTCTTGTTTTAATTCTTCCTTTTCTAGTGGACCAGAGCCTTACCACATGTCTTCTTCGGGCTAATATGCCTCTGCTTTGATATTTGGCTAGGTTTCTTCCAGATTATCCCAAGGGTCTCCCATCTGAAGCTCTCAAGAGTGTGATTTCTAGAATTAGATGTTCTAGGTTTCTAAGGTTGAACCTTGTGCCATCGGGGTGTCAAATGCCATCCATAATGGCTTTCCAATGTGGACAAGGTTTGGTGGAGCTCCCAGTTTATAAAATAGGTTTGGAAGTAGGAGTGACATCCACTTCCTAAACCACATGCCTATGGAAACTTTATGAACTTGGAGAAACGACAATAATTATAGAAAGGCATTAGATTTTTTGTGCATAGAGTTGTACTTGATGACAGTCAACAACAACAACAACAGGTTTGGATTCCAGATCTATCACTTGTTACCTTTTGTGGCCTGGGACAAGTTACTTAACTCCTTTTAGCCTCAGTGTCTTTGATTTGGAAGTGAGAAACATTAGTAATACCTCATCCACTTCCTAAACCACGTGCCTCCAGGAACTCTATGAACTTTCATAAATGTCGGTAGTTATAGAAAGGCTTCAGGTCTTTTGTTCATAGGATCGCTGTGACTTGTGCTCGACTCAAAGGCAATCATCAACAGCAGCGACATAGATTTCTGGATGTAGTCCACAAGGAAAATGTGTTGCTAACCCAAAGGTGAGCCCCTGGTAGTTTGAGTCCACCACCAGTGGCTCCATGGGAAAATACCGACAGTCTCCTTCCTTGCGATTTACAGCCTCTGGAAGTCAGTCCACCAGCAGATAGTTATGAGTCTGTTGCCACTCAAGAGAAATGGGTCGGGGAGCTCTGGTGGCCTAGTGGTAAGGAGCTGCAACTACAATCCCAGAGGCGCACGGTTCGAATCCACCAGATGCTCTGCCGGGGAAGGAGGGACAATCTCCTCCTGTACCAGTCAGATCTGATTTGACGGTACACGCACACAGAAATAATAATAAAAAAAAAAATTAAAAAAAAAAGAGAAATGGGTCAAAGATTCCTGGAAGAATTAATTGTACTAATATATGTAGGATGTTATGTGCAGTGTTAGTTCAGATATTGAAACTCTGTCTCACATACTTAAGGCATTTCCAGGAGGGACCAGACCAGTTCTTGGAGAGACAGCAGGAGAGGGGAAGACTTGGAGGGGGTGGATTGACACTATAACTGGGGTACTGAGGGTAGGTGTGTCAGAGATGGTGAGACTGGCTCAGGATAGGTCAGGGTTCAGAGTTATTGTGCTTAAGATCTCTGTGAATCACAGGTGACCCGACAGCATATAACAGCAACAACACAGCCACTGTCATCAGCATCCATCACTTTTGATGCCCTGCTGAAAGTATTCTTTCTTTGATTCAATACTCAGATTAGATCAAATGTTCTGTTTTAAGGTATCCAGTAATTTTGTTCCAGTGTAGGTTTTTGTCTTCTCCAGAGCCTGTGTGTCATCTCATTGTGTGAGAAAAGCCATCAGGCTTTTAGAATGAAGCCTAAGTCAAATGATACTAAAGACAGTTATTTATTCCTGCCAACTAATTCCATCAAAGGAGAAGTAAATCACTTACAAAAATTATTTCAAGTGAACTGTCATTGCAAGGATAAAAGCTGACTACTTGCTACCTGAAGTTAGTTCATCAGCCCGGTTGTATGACTTTAAGAGATTTTTTTTTCCTTCTTTTGTTTACATTTTAATTTAAACTTGCTTCTTAACATTATTTGAGGAACCGTGGTGGCACTGTGGTTAAAATGGTTTGAACCCTCCAGCCTCTCTCCTCAGGAGAAAGAGGAACCACCCTGCTCTGTAAAGATTCATCATGTTGTTATAATCTGTTAAATCAGGACCAATTCATAGCTGACCTTCCACTGGGTTTTCAGAGGCTTTAAATAGAAAAGGAGGAGATTACCCATATTGTTTCTGTGGACCAGATTTGAACCAGTTACCTTTGAGTTGTCGGCAAAGTCCTTACCCACTAGGCCACCAGACTTCCCCTCTGTAAAGAATTATAGCTTCGAAACATCATGGGCATTTCTACTCTGTCCTGCAGGGTCTCTGTTAGTTAAGATCAGCTTGTGACGGTGAATTTGGTTTGGTTCTTGCATTATTGGTAGGATACCTCAGCTAGTATTTCCTTTAACCTTCAAGTAACCTGCCTGCATTTTCCTTTTCTCTCCACCTTAGCCCTGTGACCCCCAGCACTCCTGGGAGCCCACCAGTGAGTCCTGGGCCCTTGTCTCCCGGGGGCACCCCGGGGAAGCACATCTGTGGTCACCATCTGCACACGGTGGGCGGTGCCGTCGAAAGGGATGTGTGTAACCGGTGTCGGCACAAAAGATGGCACTTCATAAAACCCGCCAACAAGTCCAAAGAGGGCCGATCAAGGCGCCAAGGAGAGGTCACCGTCCTTTCTGTGGGCAGGTAAGAGCCCCTTGGGAGCTTTTCCGTTGTCTGGTGTATGGGTTTGCGTTGCCCTATTAAAAATAGAGCGTGTTTTCCTAAGCCCGGCTTGGGCCCCATCTCTAAACGTTTTATAATCTTTTCTGGTCTGAGTGCTGGATATTTCCAGTAGCCAAGGAATCTTCAGAGCTGGCTATTTCTAGATCAGATGTGAAGTGTTTTATTTAAAAGTCAATGAATGATTGCTTGCTATAACTGATCAAGCTCTGAGTCTCAACTGTACCCAGACTAGTGATGAGAGATCAGTTGACAGTGCTTCTTCAAGCCGTCAGCTGAGTTCTAGACACTTTCCATATTGTGGTTCTCTCCCAGCAGGAGAGAATGTAAGGAAGATTGATTGATTGATTGATTGATTGATCATGAGGAGAAATTTTAAGGTGATAGAACTGACAGGGGCACATGTCATGTTTTCCTTAAATGACACACTGGAAACCAGTCACTTGGCCACACCAGCTTCCATGAAGCTGGGGAACGTGGTCTTTCATATACCAGGAATGAGACAGACTTCGATTCTAGTACGTGGTTCTCCAGTCTCTTCCATAGGTGATCCACATAAAGAACTCCTGTTACTCTTTAGTTCACCTGTTGTGTCCTGGGTCATTCGTTGCCCCTGTAACTTTCCCTTATGACACGTATGCAACCTCACAGTTCAAGCTATGCATCAGATTAGTTTTCTAGAAATCACTTACAAATCTGATGGTCTTAATCCTCAGTGCTGTCAACAACTGCAGTGCTCATTATTTTAGTTTCTTAGTGCTGCTATAACAAAAAGACCACAAGTCTCTGGCCTTAAAGAACAGAAGGTTTTCTTTTTCACAGTTCAGGAAGCTAGAGGTTTGATTACAAGGTCTTAGCTCCAAGGGAAGGCTCTGCTCTGTGGAAAAATCTTCGTCTTAGTTTCTCTGGCATTGTTTTTGTCATTCCTCAGTTTCTTGGTTTGTTCCAGTGACATCTGTCGTTCCCTTTTTCCACTTAATTGCTTCTGTGCCTAATTTATTATTTGCATATCACAGGGGCTGAATTTAACAACACTCTGCATTGATAGTGCCTAATTAGCATAGCGAAGAGTCCCCTTTTCCTAGTGGGATTATAATCTCAAGTAGTGTTCTTTTTTGCCGTTGAGAACTGACTCTTAGCTGACCCTCCTACAGGTTTTCAGAGGCTGTATATCAATCAGATCAGTTGGTGGATTCCAACCAAGTGCATTTTGGATAGCAGCGTGATTTACTACCAGAGCCCCTCTGCATTTACACTAAGCATTACTCTAAAAAGACACAATTAAGCCCAAAACATGACTTGATGGCACCTAACAACAAACCACAGCAGTCAGGAGCAAGTGCAGAGAGTCAGGGTTCAAATCCCTGCTCTGCTGCTTACAAGCTGTTATTTCTCTTTATGCCTCAGTTTCCTCTCAGTAAAAATGAGAGGAACATTCATTTCTGTGCAGAGTTAACGGAAGTGAATCATGGAATGGTCTTAGAGAATTTTTTTGTTTGTCTTCACTTGGCACTGAGGAAATGTTACTATTTTTCCCACAAGCAATGAGGAGAAGCCTGCAGGACTTTTTGCACTTACAGCTCAGCAGGACATCCCATGACCACACTGTGTGATTGAGAAGGCGAGCCGTGGGAATTTATAAATGCAGAATGAAGGGAGAACCTGGAGCTTGTTTGGACAAAATGTACTTGGTATTCTTAAAAGAAAAATTGGACATTTTCAACATGGCTTTTTCAAATACCCCATGCCCATTTGTATTTCTTGAATATTGGACTCTGAACATTTAATTATTCCAAGCTGTATTTTTCATGTTTTTAAAGGATTCTTACAGATTCTCAGAAGAGATTAGTGTTTACAGGCTTTCCCCTACTCATTCTCGCTCACTTTCTCAGAGCCTTTGTTTTCTCATGGTGGAATATCCCCTTTTGGACAGAGAAGGAGAATCTATTTTAAATCATTTGGAGTGAAATTAAGACCAGAAATAGAAACTCATATGAAAGACCTTTAAAAAAAAAAAAGAATGGAAATTTTTTAACTTTTTCCTCAGTCCTTAATGAAAATCTCTTCCTTAACTTTTTCTTCACTGGACTTTTGCTCCATTTAGCTAATAGTGACCCTTGGGCAGAGGGTCGACTTGGTTTTCTGTCAACACCATTTGTTAGGTGTACCTGTCTTCTTTTTTTTTTTTTTGGTGTACCTGTCTTTAAAGTACTATAGTGCTGGGCTATACAGATATGCTGCATTATGCAGATGACACAACCCTGCTTGCTGAAACTGAGGAGGACCTGAAATGCTTGCTGCAGAGGGTCAAAGACTCGCAGCCTTCAGTATGGATTGAGGCTCAATGTCAAGAAGACAAAGATTCTCACCACTGGACCAATTGGCAGCATCAGGATGGATGGTGAAG